GTAAAGCTATACAGTCAGAAATCACTTTAAACTCTCTTTTATTGGCTGAATTTCAAGTAATTTTAGGTTTTACATCTGTCACTGGGCCAATTCTTGTTGGAACTACATTATCTTCCTTTTCAAAATGCCTTTCTTTCCTTTGTTGTGCTATGAAATGCCCATGCAAACAGGGGAAAACAAATACTCTGCAGGGAAACCAGATAGTCATCAGCCTGTGAATACCAGTACAGGCCAAATTCTAGACTCTTTGAGCTCTAGTAATATTAAAAGTTTTTTGTAATTAGAGTTTTAAAAGCATTCAGGCAAGAGATTGTAAGAATGTAGGGTATTTTGGATGGTGGTGGTGGTTGTTTGTTTTGTTTTTGGTTTGGTTTGGAGTTTTGTGCTGTACCTCTATGGTATGCAAACAGCAGCATTCTGGTAGTTTTTAGGCTGGAGGAACTTGAAAACCATTAAGTTATTAAGCTACTATTTGGCCAGGCTGGACCCAAATCTGCGAGCCTTCTCTAAGGGAAAGGGGCAGGAGAAAAGTCAGGCACTCTATTTGCAAATGAGATAGACTTAAAAACTGGAAAACAAAAGCTGTGCTTTTCTCCTGGCTGGAAAGACAGATAGCTGCAGAAAACAAAAAGCTTTTCACTGCTGTGTCTTGGTAATGAAAAAGAGCCTGTCTCTCTGGTGTGGAGCTGTTGTGACTCCTGTCTTGACTTTAAGGACAGTCAGAAGTAGTGATGTGCACAGGCTGACTGTACAATAGGATTCACTTTTTAATTCATTGGTTGCTCCTTGTGTCATTAGGAGACATGGGAAATGCCACCTGCTAAGCTGGAAGCAGGCTTGGATTTTCAGTAGACATCAGGCCCTGCAAGCAAAACCAGATGCAGTAGTTTCCAACAGTTGTCTTGTAACAGCTGCACAAATAAATCCATAGAATTTATAAAATTCAGTGTGACAATGCCTATTGTTAAAACCCACACCAGCTCAAATAATAAACCTAACTAAATCTAGTCTTCAATTTGTAGAGTGCTTGTTGCAAAATAGATTTCATAGAGCTTGACAAGACAACCTCAGTTTTGTGCCAATATATCCTATTTCTTTGTTTAAGGTGTGAGTAACACTATCACTAAAATAATATCCTTTACAATACTCTTGATGCTTTTGAGGTACACACCTCTGGGCCTCAGTTGAAAAGTGGGCCCTTGAGGGGTTCTGAACAGCTCCCCAGGTTGCCTTCTGATAGAATTACAGCATGTTCCTTTCTTAGAATGGCACTGATGTCACTAAAGTGGTGTTCTTTCACCCAGTGTACAAGAGCCAATCCAAACACAGTCAAGATGTTTGATTTTATTTCATATCTGTGCAGAGATGGGTGCTAGGTGATAAATCTACAAAGCTAGCACACCTTCAGTATACCAAGAGCCCATTTTTATACACTTCAAATCAACAGAAATCAACATGTCCTGTATATGTAACAAGCTATAGTAAAAAACTATAGTAATTGTCTTATCATTGATTTGCCTCCGTTTAAAGATATACACACTTACTTTACTATGCATGCTCTGTGAGGAAGGGGCTAATGTGAGTAAGGGAAAAGCTTAGCCTGCGGGCTAATCTTAGCCTGTGGGTATTTTACAATGTCAATGAGCCCAAAGTTTGAGCAGAGTTATTCTTTGGCTTTGTGGTTTGATTCATAGTGTCCTCCTGTTCTTCACTTCTCTGGTCACAGCTCTTGGTTTGTCTAGGCTTGGTTATTCCCTCTTTTTTCCTAAGTTCTTTTACTTGTTCTGTGCTGTGCTTCAGAGATTCAGTGAATTTTTAACCTTCTCGTGGTACTTCACTTCATCAGCACCACACTGTATTTTCCTAACACAGTGCAGAGGAGAAAGTACCCTGCAGCTTTCTAACTGTCCATGGGAGGGCTGGGGGATCATCAGCCTGCCCATAAGACTGAGAAGGGTAGTCAGACCCCAGGTAAATATCTCCTTCTGGTGCCCAAGTACAATCCCCTGGTGTGACAGACAATGCACAAGCTGAAGGAACTAGAACACAGCTCCCCTCTGCTTTGGTCCCAGCAGGATGAGGCACCACAAGGGACATAGTTCAAGATAAGGCCTGGCATGTTTCTGTTGCTCCTCCTCCCCTTCAGGGAAGCTGATTAGGAACATCTCTACCGCAGGCTGTCGGCAGCCAGGCACTACCACAGTATCTGTACTTCATGTCTGGGTGCTCTTTGGAGTCCCATTAGGGTGGGTTTCAGCTTTCTTTTTCTGAAATGTTTCTGGCTTAGTAAGGCAGCATGGAAAACAATCTACCCGGGGATGTCCCCAGTGACTAGCTAGACTATTCAGCAGCTGTGTCTCCTGCTATTAGCGCCATAATTTAATTGGAATGTTAATTCTGTCTTTTGCCATTGCTGGTCTGCAGCTTGGTACGTGCAACAGATTTTGGCTCTGCAAGCATGTCAGATGAGCTAAAAAAGAGAAGGGGCACTTCTCATCTGCCACACATCGATGAAATGCTGGCTGGTGGGGGTCAGCCACAGTGTGCCTCTGATTTCTGTGGATGAGGAGCTTACCTTATTTCAGTACTTTTTCCCAAGTCCTCTCAACCAGTGATGAGCCGCAGAATATTAGGAGTCGCAATGAGCTCACATTTGGGAGTTCTGCCAAAGGATGCACCTGACCACTGATGTTACGCTGTCCCCAAGACAGACCACTGAGCAGTATTTTTGTAGCAAACAATAGATCATGGATTTGTGAGAAAATAATTACCTGCCTTTTCTGTGCCTGCTGTTCAGCTCTGTTTGCTTTGAACTTGTAACTCCCTGTCTGGCATCGTGTTGCACACAATTGCCTTTGATTACAAGACAGTGACAAGAGCAGAGACTGACTCACAAGGGGAAAAGATGCTTCTGACTGCTCAATCATTCCCTGCTGGTCCAGCCTACTGAATAAATCTGTGTTGGGTCTCACGCCTGGAGGTGTCCCAGGTTCCCAAAGCCATAGGAACATAAAGGTTTGAGGAAGACAGGTTGCAGCTCTGCATGATTATGGATGCATTTAATTTCACATCTGCTCTCTGCAGAACCTCCTCCTTGCTTTCCACTTTTGGGAGGAATTACCGATTTTACTGCTGCTACAACATTCAGGCACAAGGAACTTAAGAGATAAAGAGCATCAGTCTTGTGCTGCCTTGCAAACAGTGGGAGGGGAGGATGAATTTAGGACAATGTGCTACGCTACAGTTGGGAAAGCTGACTTTAATGGTCGCTTGTTTCCCACACTTTCTATGCAATCTTGAGGAAGCCAAATTGTGAAACTGTCAAAGGTGTCAAGCCCCAAAGCTACACACAGCTCGCTGGAGGGGCTTTAAAATCATCAGGGGACTTAAATCTCCCAGGACTTTGTCAAATAAAGATAAAAAATTATTCTTGCCATTACATCACAAGGTCCCTGGGGACCACAGCAGGGGAAAGCTGTGTGTGTTCAGAGGTAGCCTTGAGTAGTGGGAAGAGAAAGGGACCTCAGACGCTTTTCATTGCAAGTAAGACCTGTTAAGTCCTGCCTAAAATCACAGAGACTCCCTAAATATCAGGACAGCTATTTCTTCTCATTAAACGCAAAAATCTTACAGGCTTACACGCTCTAACATCTTCTCCACAGTCCCTTCTATGATCAAATGCAAACATTTGTGGCACTGAGGTTACTTCTTTCCCTTTCTATTAAGAGGTGATGCATTCAGGCACTGGGGTGGCCAACCTCACCCTTTTCAAAGCCTGAAGAGGCAGCTGTGAGGACATGGTGAAAATTAATCCTTTGCACTAAAAACTGGCTAGAATTATCACGTGCCTGGGACTTTTCTCTCTCACTGTGCTTCTGTTCCTGCCTACAAGTCTCTCTCAAGTGTTCACCACTCTGATGTGGTAGCTGGGGGAAGGCACTTTGATCTACCCAGCCCAGGCTAACTGCTCCTCATCTCTGCTCTCTGTCAGGAAGAAGTATCATCCTTCCTGCCTCCTGAGGCATGTTCTTTTGTGGCAGAAGTATAGGTTAAAAAGCATAGCTACAGCTGGGTTTCTCAGGGAGCCACACAATAAAAGCAAAGCTGACAAGACAGGAAGGCAAAGCACAGATAAGAACACCAAGGACAGAACTCAGACAGTTACTAACATATCCACAGCATAATCAAAACCTGAATGTCAAAATCTGTTATTCAACGACATTAAATCAGAAAAGGCAACAATAAGCATAATCTAATCATCATCATGACTGTCCATTCAGTTTCCCCATGATCTCCTGCACTGTGAAGCTACTTGAGCCTGAATCACCCATTTATCCGCTTGTTTCACATCAGCATAACTCCACTGGTGCCATGTTGAAGTCTGAAGTACATCTGTCTGTCAAAGACATTTGGCGTTAGTTCAAGTAATGTTTAGTCTCTACTGTATCAGCTGCTGCTCGTTTCTGGAAAACTTCAGCTCAGTCAACTGCATATGTGCTAGAAATAAAATGAATCAAATGTACATGGGTACTCTACATAAGCACGAAATGATCTGTGACCTCATTCATTGTAGCTTCTTATGCATTCATTTTCTCAGCACCCACTAGGGAAAACATAATCTGAGTGAGGGACAGGCTGCAAGAAATGACACCAGTGATCTGATGCCCCTCCAGGGCAGTCTTTTCTGCCTCAGTCTCTTCTGAATCACATAGACAAGAAGTATAAATCAGGGCTATGAATCTGGACTGCTGTATGGAATGCGCTTCTAAAATATTAATGGCCTGCCCATTACACTGTAATCTTACTTTATTTGCACACAAATAAACAAGATAAGTTAAACTTTATAATGAAAATATATCCTACAGCTGCAAAGACTTAATGCTAACTGCACTAAACTTATCATACAGCTATTTCTTCACTTAAAAAACATATATATATATATACACACCATTATTATTTATATATATATATATATATAAGGAAACTACCTGTAAGTACAATGGAAAAATACATTCAAAAGATTTTATAAAACTTGGTGCAATATTATTTTGACTGCAATAAAAAATACTTATGAGAGAAAGAAAAATACACGGAGAAACATGAATAACTAACTTTCAGTGCTTGTCTAAATCCTGAAAAGAAAATCTGGTCTTTGGTATTGCAAAACAGATCTAGTGGAAAGCATCTACAATCCCAGTTTACAGACTCTGCTCCATCCTCTCTGACTGTGTGTGCTTACCACCATTTTGCACAGGCTTTGCTGGCTGAAAGTTTCCATAATAATTTGCAAACAAGCGGGGAAACAAAACCAGCCGAACATGTAGTGTCTTCTTTCAAGGGCTCAATCCAACCTTCATTAAATTCAATGGAAAATGTTCTACTGCCTTATTCAGAGTGAAGGTTATACAAAATATTTAAATTGATTTGCTGTCAAAGCAATGGCCACTCAGCGGTAAAAGATAATTATAACCCTGTAACAAACCGTGGAACTGCCCCTGTGGCAGTCCCTCCCTCACCCGGTGGAAAAGTCATGACCAGCAGCAGCTAGGGAGACTATCCAGCAGTAACTAAACCCTGAGCACATAGTACAAGTTTCCTGGGAGGTTTTCCACCCAGCACGCGAAATGCAGTGAGCTGTGGGAGCTTCAGTATTGAAATTTAGATTGGACTTCGTCTCTGTGGGAGCTGAAACAAATCCTAGCAAGCGTTGCAGACTCATCAATCCCACAAGCCCAGCAGGACAACCAGGAACATCCCTGTTTCAACAGTGGTTGTAGTTCTTAACAGAGAGCAACAGAATTTTTCTATATAAACCATGAATGCACAACATCCAACTGCATTTTTTTTTCCCTTCAAGGTAAATGTTTTTTGTCCATCTATTTTAGCTTCTCACTACATAAAAGCAAAACATTTTAAGAAATAGACATGGCTCTTTGAAGCAGTAAGGGAAATACACACCATAGTCTGCTTCTTTAGGCAACTTCTATCATGTATATACCTTGTTTCCTACTGGATTTTCATTTGACCTGTGTCATATATTCAGCCTGTTGCAAAACTCAACTGACAGAGAGGCAGCTTCCACAGTGATACCCTTTTAGCTGCAGCATCAGATCAAATCAACCTTTCAGTAAAAGTCTCTTTTATACACATTCCTGCGTTAATGCAATACTGGACATTAAGGGGAAAAAGTGAAACACAGCAGACATCAGATAAAATGAAAAATAAGTGCCTATAGTTGTCAGCTGACAAATGCCACAGAGTTATTGGCTTCCAATCCTCTCCATCCAAAATGTTAACCTTGTTAACATCAAAGTATTAGCTACTGACATTTCTAATGGCAAAACCATAAATCCAACCCATAGTGTCTGAAAATATTTGTAGAGACACTGTGTATCAAAACACATTCAGGCTACATCTGTTGACTGAATTCATGCCCTTGTTATAAAGAAATGGACACAGATTCTTGTGCATTGTCCAAACAAACTCCGGTTGCTGTATGGTCTTCTATTCTTCAAGGAGAACTGTGTAGTTTGTAGCAAGAAACAAGACAGCAGGTTTAGAACTGAAGCCTATGAGTGTCTATACATGTCCCAGAAGAAACAACTATCAGAAATCCTTGTCCCAGCCTGAAAGTTCATCTGGAGGGGTTCCCTCTTCAGGTGGATAGCTGTCAAAGTAGCTGTAATCAGTCGGTCCAGACAACTACGACATGAAAAACACGAACAAATGGTTGTTTCAGAAAGTAACTTTTGAAAATGTTGTCCATTAATTATGCATCATTTTTATTGCTACCAGTGTGGAGATGAAAGGCTGGTATGATACAGGTGACTTGTTTCAATGGATGCAATTCCTCATTCTTTAAAAGATAAACCTCCAGTAATTAAATTGTACAACAGAGCAATGGCATTAGCCTTCCTATATGAAAGTACTTCCCAAATACTATCAACTCCAGGATTTCACCAAAAGCCCTACAAAGTCAGTAAGAAAGCTGGGCCACACTGCACACAATTTTTATTCTACTTTCTTTAAGATCAAATCTATATTCACAGGGTTGGTACTCAATGCAGACCTCAGAATTATTTTTTGTTTCAAACTGAGGTCAAAATGAGTTTCAAACTCTTTACCCTCAATCTTTTTTCATTTTAGGGCAAAGAGAAATAGGCCATTTAAAACACAGAGCTTACTCAAGGGTGTGTTGTAACTCAATAGTAAGAGAATGCAGGAATTTGTACTCTGCACAGTAATATGAACAATATGTCTTAATAATGTGCCCATTACCAAGGAAAATATGTTTTTTTCAGTATTAGTTTCTGACCAAACACCATTTTTTCTAGTAATGGTGAAAATCTAATGCAAAGTACACAGGCAGAATAATATTTCCATTATTTAACTGGATTTATGTATTGCTTGCTGTTTCTCTTTCTTTCATGCAATTTTCACTAAAAACATCGAACTACAATAACTCAAATGCATCTATGGGAAATTTTGCTATTGCCATCAGCTGTTCTTTGAAGTCAAGCTATATTAGTAAAGCATTATGATATTGAAAGCCAAAGCCAGTACCTCTCTTTTTAAAGGTGACGTTAATTTCCTCACTTTCAGACTATCCCAGTTAAAACCACTCAACCACCTGATTAAAAAAGAAATGAAAGACAGACAGGGAGAGACCAAAAGAGAAAGACAGGTTGTTTTCTGTCATTATACTATGAAGACCTGAAAAACATGTGAACAAGGACTGTAAGAAATTTTTTTACTGCCCATGTAACAGCACAGTTATTAGAAAGAGGAAACTCGAGCACTGTCATTGCCATACAAGGCAGGGGGAGCTTCAGGACCACCAGAAACACTGGCACTTCTGTACAGAGGAGATGCAGTGACAGATAGGTTAATACATGCACAAGTACAGCCATGAAAAGACTTATGTGTCTCCTTGGAATTCCACCCTCTTTACAGCATGAGAAGAGGGAGAGAAACAGAAAAGTCAAAGAACATGCACAAAGTGCATGGCTTAGAAACAACTCAGATAAAAAAAGAAAGCAGAAAATGTTTAAGCTACAGAGGAATTTCTTCATTAGAAGAAAGACTTTCTTCATTAGGTTCATCAGGACAAAAACCTAGTATTGCTTTGGAGCTCTTAATTACTCATTCTTAAAAAGCAACTGTTTAAGGGTCAGGAGGTCTGAAAGGCAGATGCTGAACTGGCATCAATTTCCCTGAGAACTAAATTAAACTCCTACATCGACAACCTGCAACAAAACCAGTAAAAAATAAGACATTTCTAGATAAACATGTTGAGGATTTATGCTCATATCGTCGCTTGGTGTAGCTGCAAATGCAACAGTACTGTTGCTGTAGCTCAGGCTACAGCACGACTTAGCTCAGCTGCAAATGCACTCAATAGCAACAGAAATCTCTCTTTATGGGTTTACCAGACTGGGTTCTAAAATATTAAAAATACTTCAAATTAAACCCCAAATTTTCTTCTTGGCAGATTCTTTTGTTTACCTGTGCTTCTTGATGTCATTAATTCCGTTTCTCAAATTGCCTAATCTTTCTGTAGGGTTTTGCCTTAAAAGAAAGAGGAAAACAATAAGGATAAGAATTTATAAAATATTCCTATTTATTTAAAGAGCATTTATAGATCCTAACTGCTTGTTTTTAACAGTTACACAGGGATGTAGCTTGCATAAAAATGTGGCCTCATAAGGAGGCATAATGATGTTTTGCTCACTGCTCCTTTCTTTTAAGGATGGAGAAACCTGCTAGGAAGCCAGAACAATGTCACCTGGCTGTGAGAAGCAGCAGAGTGAAAACAACAGGCTGAATTTTGGTTGCACATCTTTTTTTTCCCTTGACCAGCAGCCCTGGTTATGAGTTACAAAAGGAGCCAAATCAAAATTTACAAAGTTCCTTTCAAATGCTGGTGCACAAGCATGTCGCACACCGTTCCTAGTGCCATGGATGAAATCCCATGGGAACTGGGAGTTCAAAGTCAGCATTGTCACCAGCTGTGCATGCCACTGTGCACTAATGCTTCTGAGTTATGCTGGCCCTTTTGAAATACTGCCTTTTGCATTTTCAAATGGGCTTAAGTCAGTCTTTAAGTGCCCTACGTTTTCTGTAGAAACTATATGACTAAGTAAGTTTGGAAGCATTTTTTTGTTAACCAACGTGCTTGATAGCAAAATCAAATTCCTTAGCTCTTTCCTCACCCCACGGTCCATAAGTTTTCCCAAAGATTTGTTTCAGAAAAAATTCACAGCTACAGAGAAAGCCCAGAGCCAACATTTGTAGATGCTGCCTCTGCAGACTAAGAGGTGTGATACATATTCAGAGGCACGCAATGCATACTGAATATAATCAGAATGGACCGTGCTATGCATGACAATTCTAAATCAAGCTGTCAGGAATTCAACACTCTAGTTTGAATTCTAAAAGAGCTCAATCTATCCACACCCAGGCTTTGCCACAAACTGCCCCTCCCACCTGCAGAGTCTGCGGATCAAATCCTCAGGTCGCCTTGTTATTGTTTTAGGAAAATCCAGCTTTTCAATGCCTTTGAGAATCAAATTATACGTCATCATTTGATCAGCCCCAGAGAATGGTGGACTAGAAAAAGAAAGTGACACTGATAAATGGAAGTCTGGCAAGAGCAGATGTGGCCATTACTTATCAAATCAAATATTTGAGAATATGGGAAAAAAGCCCACCTTTATAGTTTTACAACCCTCACCCTTTCAGCCTGTTTAAGATATTAGAAACGTTTGAGAATGAGAAATTTCCTGTAGGTACCAGGGAAAATGCATGACCATATGTGTCCCTCTAAGCCAGCTCTGCCTCTGGTCTAACTCAGAGAAGCTTCCACGTTGTGTTACCACTGAGCATTCGCAAAGAATTGCCATGGGAATGTGCATGGAGGCAAAGAATGAGCCCTGCTTACAGTTCACCCACCCCACTGTACCCCATCACCGACTAAGGAGGAAAACAACCTTCTTTTGACAGTTATTCCTCACAGGAAACATCGTTATCATCATCATCCTCAGTTAATGGAGCTCTACACCAGCTAATTACAGGCTGTGCCTGGCCCTTTCCTTGGATAGGTAAGCCAGAATTAAGTATATGTACCACACTGTCTCTTGCATTGCTGAAATGATGGAAGGTAAGACAGGTGTAAGAAACAAAAACAAGTATCATTTTGCAAGTCTCTTTACTGATTGACACCCCCCCAAACTGTTTATTGTAAAAGTAACTTTAAAAGGTCTCTAAAAACAAACAAAAAAGGTAAGAACTCAGAGTAGGAGGCACTTACCTGCCAGTAAGGAGTTCATATACAAGAATCCCAAGGGACCAAAAATCCACACTGAAGTCATGGCCTTTACTCAGTATGACTTCAGGAGCAACATACTCAGGGGTTCCACAAAACGTCCAGGTTTTCTGCCCTGATCCAATCTTCTTTGCAAATCCAAAATCAACCTGATCAAAATCAACATATGCTGCATAATGCAGAGGTGTTTTGCACTGGGAAGCCTTAAAGTCTTAATTGCTTCCTCCCCTCCTGCAAAGATCTGAGAGTTGCTAGTTTAGATCTAAAACAACTACACAGTGTAGTTGTGAAGGAGAGAGAAGTAATTCAACTGGATTACTGAATGTTATAAAACAGGTCCATTTATTATCAAAAGTAATTCTCTGACTTATTTTCCTTTTGGAGACAACAACCCATGATTTCCTTGAGGACATGAGATTTACCTGGAACACTTTGGGTTGCTCATTGTCCTCAGAGAGGACATTTCAAGTTCTTCGAGAGGTATTCTTGTTGCACTTTTCAGAGTCACAATCAAGTATGGCAGTTCTTTACTGTCTTCCCTCTCTACAAAGAGTGGGAACCTCTGACTGTAGATTGAATGAATGAATGTAGAACCTAAGACTGCTTGAGTCTGGACAGAGAGGTAATTCTGCATCTGGGAAATGTAGTTCCTGGCTTTACATTAAAACTAGCTCCTGGGAGAATTTTTTTTTTTTTTTTTTTTTGCTATTTATGCTGTGGCAAGAGCTCTCAGAGACTGCAAATCCCAAGTTTGTCTGTGGCTTACAATGCCTTTGTTTCTCATTGTGCAATGAGAAGCCTGCCCTCTATTCTACTGAAGCGCAAGAGTTATTAAACTCTGGGACTCTGGTTCTATAATTACGTGCTGTCTGTTTATATTCCTCTTGCAAAGAAACTGGAGACAAAAGGATAACATTACAGTGGATTACATCTTACCAGTTTTATATATCCTTCAGCATCCAAAATTAAGTTTTCTGGCTTCAGGTCTCTGTAGATTATTCCTATGTGATGCAGATAGTCAAAAGCCTCTGTCACACACCCAACACAGAACTTGGTGGTGAATTCATCAAAGCTGCCTCTGGAACAAAACCAATCAACATCCTTACAGACAGTTAAGTTCTAAAAATGCCTTACTTATTAACCAGATAACATATAACACCCAGAATATTAACCAAACTGAAACAAAAATCTTTTCATCAGACAAGCCTTGAATAGAGAACCTACTCAGCAGACCCATGGAGCTGACCGGTGATTTTAAAGGGCAAGGTTACACTTTCTTTGCTGTTACCTGTCTCTCAGCAAGCTCCACAACTCCCCTCCAAGGCAAGCCTCCAGGAGCATGTATACATACTTATTATCTTTGAATGTGCGATATAGTCTGTGGAGACAAATGGCAGCAATTTAGGAAAAGCAAAATAAAATGCGAGACTTGCAGTGTCTTCTTCCCAGAACTCATATATGCCAGACCTAATTCCTAATAATGCTGTTCAGCGGGTCAGCTGGGGGTCAACATTCAAGGAAAGCTTATGGTCAACTTACTTTACAATGAATGGAGAACATATCTGCTCAAGGATTTTCTTTTCAGAATAGATATGCTCTTGTTGTTTGGTGTCCACTACGTGTTTCTTCTTTATACACTTCATAGCAAAAGCCATGTTCTCGTTTTTCACTTTAACCTGTGAATAAAAATGAAGAATACATATGAGGAAAAGAAAGGATATTTTACCAATCAGTTCTCAATAGGTATACTGATATCCATCTTTTTCAACACAGCAAACGACTAAAATTGATGGCTGTAGTGAGGGACAAATTCCAGATATTTTGCAGAACTGTTATGGATGATTTTAAGTCAAGCATCAGGTCTTTTTAGTTTCCCAGTCCCCACTTGCAAAGTGAAATAGCAGCAGTTTGGGTAGGTACTACATACTACAATAAGTTTATACTGCAGCGGGTCCTAACTTCAATTTAAGATTTCTAACCACCACCATAATACAAAAGAACAAAATGCAGAGGCAGTTTAGGAAGAATGTTTATAAATGATTTTGCATTATGCTGAAATATTATCCAAAATGCAATAAAAAGATGGAAGTTAAAACAGGGCTTCTCAGAAACCAAGGAAACAGTAATCTGTGTTCTACAGCTGGATGAGAATTCAATTTTTAGCTTATTATTCAGGTGATGCTGTAGAAGGTGATGCTGTAGAATTTCCAGTGTGAAAGTTTGTTTTTGTTTTTTTTTTGTGAAGCATGAATCAGAATAAAACAACTGATGGTTTAACTACTGTGAAGGACTTCACTAAAACCACAAAGTCTCCTTTAATTTACCATTACCTTCAGCAGCCTGCACAAAATGCTCTCAGGTTTTTCTCAGATGTTTGCTACTCAGCCAGGGGAGAGTGGAATTTAAGACTTTAGGCTCATGAGGCTCTTGGTATCCCAGAAACACAGCTGTTCATGCCATTGAATATGGCTCAAAAGAGCCATTAAAAATTGTTGGAAATGTCACAGTCAACACAGCTCAGAGAGAGATCACACTGGTTATAGCTGCTGTGGGGCATCCTGAAGCAATTCTAACAACACAAACTAAGTGATGCTGTGGAGATTACTTCAGGTCCAAGCAGAGTCTTGGGAAAAGGCCTGCAATTCAGGGAACACAATGCAGGTAGGCACATCTGTAAGCTCCACATGCACAAACTGATGACTGTGGCTAGTGACCAGGAAGATACTTTTAACAATAGAAGATGAAGGCACACAAGAATGGATTTGCTTCTTTGCACATCCAAGTCCTGAAATATTTTTTAACTATGCATTGCTTTATACAGAGTTATTCTGTCTGAGGCAGAATAACAGGCATGGAGAATATTAAAATCCTTCACGTTATTGAGTGGCTAAATTAATCATTTAAGACAGAGAACTATTTGAATATGTTTAAAACAATGTCTTACAAGCTCAACCCTTCCGAACCCACCAACACCCAGAGTTGTGACAACTTCTAAATTCTTGAATGGGGAAGGAGGGAACTGGGCTACTTTCTCCTTCAGCTCTATCATCTCCAAAGACACCTCTTTGGTCAGCTGTCCACAGAAGGATCTTCCTCTGCATTAAGAAAATTAACACAGGTTAGTGCTCTTCCTTGCCATTAATTTAAATGCTCCTATATAGAGGAAAGGAAAAGCACAAGAAAAGGAAAAGGACAAGGAAAGGAAAAGAAGGAAAGGAAAGCCTTCTTATTTCCTAAGAGAATCTTGATTTTATTTTGTGCAAAAGCACTTTCTTTCTGGACCTCCTGTGGAAGTAAATTAGAAGCAAAATGCTGCTGAAGTTCACTGAGTACAATCAACAGTATTTTTAGCAAGAGATGATTCATGGTGAGAATCCTGCTTTTATGTGGTCAGCTGCAAACATTTGGGTGCTCCAAGTTGGAGAACCAATGTTTGAAGACTGTGTACCAGTTCCAGTAGAATGATCAGAAATAAGAGTGCAGCTGTACTTCCAAACAGAAGAAAACCATGCTCTACTAATTTTCCAGTAGTGCTCAGGTTGAAATCAGAGGCACATAAACTAAAAATGTGGCCCACAGCTAAAAGCAAACATTAGGGTCTACACTGAAACACTAAAAATAAACTGTCTCTTTTATGTATGCTTGTTTCTTTCTGAAATGACAATTAGTCTTTTGCACAGTAATACAGTTTCATTAACTCAGTCAGGAGTTAAGAGTAGGGTTTTTACCAGTCAAAGAACTTCCCATGAGAATGCAAAATTTACCTGAGCTCAACGTCACTTCTATTCTGTACTCAGTTTTCTTGGAATAGAGAGAATTCTTGTTTGAAAGTCAGTATACTGAGATTCTACGTAAGTTTTGCTTCAGAAAACATTTCTTGGGCTCCATACGCATATCCAGGCTGTTTTACTACAGTGACTGCTGTCATTCGTTCCTAGGAGTCCATCTCCATCAACTACCATGCATGATTTCACTTACATCTATCATTGTTTTTTATGATTACCTACTAAAGATGTACCTACCAAATGCTCTGACTTACTTCGCATGTCGCTTTTCATCGGCCTGGGCCAGATCAGCCACATAACCTTCAAGGTAAGTTTGGAGCTCCTCATAAGTTCCAACTGTTTGATTAAAGGTCCTAAAAACACGAATGAAACATTACAAAATGCTGAACATTCAAGTAATGACCCAGACAAAATTTTACATTATCACTTTGACATGATTTTAAGAGTTTTGAAGAGGCAGTACCCTGCTGAAGTAGCAAACCTCTTGCCAGAGGGCAGGGGGACAGAGTGCCTGATCTCCTCAGGTCATTTCATGCTATGTTTAAATAATTTGGAGCAGGCTGGGTGTACTTTGCCTCCCACATGCACTGTGGTTATTAAGTGTGGTTCCACCATCCCTACCCTGGGAACCAGCTCGGCACGAGTCCAGGCAGTCAGTCCTTCTGCCCCAGTGGATAAAACCCTTGGTACATAGTGCCAAAGGGATTGAGTTCACCTCTCCTGCTTCAGAGGTGAGTAACAGCACTGTGGGAAGAAAAGACTTAGAATAGACTATTTCTGTTGGAAGGGACCTACAACAACCACCTCGTCCAACTGCCTGACCATCTCAGGGTGAACCAAACTGAAGTATGTTATTAAGGGCATTGTCTAAGTGCACTGAGCACCTCGCTAGGAAGCCTATTCTGGTGTTTCAGGAGAGCCAACTTAAGCCTCTTCAGGAATCTTCTTGGAAAAATCCCACAGGAACAGGCCCTGCAGGGAAGAGAGGTCCAACAGAGTTGGTTGATATTCAAGGATTACTTCCTCCAGGCTCAGGAAATGAGCAAGGAATTGGGCAAAGGGGGGCAAGAGACCTGTGTGGATAAATAAAGAACTCCTGTCATTACTCAAGCATAAGCAGGAAACACACAGGAGATGGAAGCACCCAGGAGATGGGCCACTTGGAATGAATATGGAAAGGTTGTAAGATTGAGTAGGAATGAGACAAGGAAGGCCAATTCCCATCTGAAATTAAATCTGGCCAAGGATGTCAAGGACAACAGGAAGGGCTTCTTCAAATACATCAGTAACAAAAGGAAAACAAAGGACAATGTGGGCCTGTAACTAAATGGAGGGGGGACCCGTAACAGAGGATGCAGAGAAGGCAGAGTTACCGAACACCTTCTCTGCACTGGTCTTCACTGACAAGACCAGCTCTCAGGAATGTCTGACCCAGGAGACCACAATAAACATCACCACTACAAGGGGAGAAAGAAAAGAATAACTTTGAGCTACTCTTAAGCTTCTGTGCACAAGCATCTGCCGTCAGCCTCTCTTTCTTAGTACTTCAAAAAACATAAACACTTGTTCAGTGTTCCCTTAAGACAACATTGTGATTTTGCCTTTAGTGAAGTCTTATGAACCTACTGAAAGTCACATGTTAACCTACTGAAAGAGGATGCAAGTCTTCTATTGAACTGTGGAGTACTTACTCTCTGTCTATAACGAGGCACTCCACGTTGTATTCATCTGCAATAACGTTTGCTGATCTGACGTCGTCACTATGAATTGAAATGTACTTTTTCAGAAACATATCAAACATATCAAAATCCTCCAAACAGTGAGGATTCACACTGTACCTCACACTGTACTCATGGAGGGTCCCAGCTGCTATAGGTGAAACTCCTCAAAGGTCTTTGCAGCCTGTACCTGAATTAATATTGCTGAACTAAATAAAAAATAGTAGCATTTCACTAGTCATTATTATGATCCAGCACAGTATTTTTTCCAGTTTCAGTAGGGTTTGGATCATGACATCCTTTAGCAACCTTCCAAGAAATTAGAGTGAGCTGTAATTAGCACTGTATCAGGATTTACTACTTACTTCTGAAATGATCTTTGGATACAAAACATTCCAGAAACCAAAAGATTCCCTACTCAATCACTCACATAAATATGTACTATGTGACTCCTTCTTTCTGTTTCTTACTATCATGGGCAATGGAAACAACAGCTCAGTCCAGTCATGATGGAGTTTATCCATTTTAAAGTCACATAGAGCCTGGGATAAGTTTTCATCACAGCTTTTACTGAAATCTAAGCAATAAGCCACAATGCAGAGAGGGTCAGCATTTGACTTCTACAGGGAAAACTAAAGGTAGATGACAGTGTATAGCTTCAAGTTCTCTCTGCAAAAAACTAAAACATTAAGGCAAATTCAGTCACTACCTTTATCTATCTACTTTACAATCAAAACAAATATTATATTCCAAAGAGTCATGAATTGTAGAATCGAATACATAGTGATAGGACAACTGAAATACTACATATCATGAATCAGACAATGTGAACTAACCTAATCAGAGCCTTTTCTCCAAAGTAATCCCCTTTATGTAGATTTTTAATCAGCTGAGGCTGTGAGTGATCTGCTGTACTTTGGGTAACTATCACCTGGAAAGTACAGGAATAAAAATTTGGTAAGGTTTCCTTTCCTTTCTGTGTATTTCATAAATGTCTTAAACTCTGTAATGCTGCAGAAAGAGTTACAAATATATGTAATTACTCCTACCTCTCAAAAATTTAAAACAAATTGCCCACCCCCAAATATTTTCTCCTCATACCTTGTAAAACAGAGCAAAAATAAGTCACATTTTAATGAAAAACTGAAAAATACTTCAGTTCTCACTGTGGGCAGGGATCATACGAGCTTTTTGTCTTTTCATCTAAGCAGATAGCAGATAGAAGAATTAACTAACATTTCCCCCTCATGAAATTCTGTTTCCACAGCAGCACGCATTCTGCTATGCCCACATTAGCAAAAACCAAACCAGAATATCTCCGGACACAGAAACATTTTGGAAATCCTCTTGGAAGTTTATTGATGAAAATTGCCCTGATTTGATTCTTTAGAGTCCCATGTCGGCCTCCAATGTAACAGCTGATGGATGAAGGCTGCTGCCTTATTCCTCTGGCACTAACAAATGACAGGAACATAGAGACATCTAAAAGGCCATTCTCCATTAAGCCTAGGACTCCATTACTTCTTATACATTTCACAAGTCTATGTTTTGCCCATCAGATATTGAACAATCTAGGAGAAGACATAGGATCAAATCTCATTTACAAAAAAATTGACTTTACATCTCTGCTGCAGTGTCAAGAGGCTTCAGGACACACTTTAATTACATTATAATTAGAACAGTATAACACGGGTTCATTGTGAATGGAAAATTAGGCTCCCTGAACCTCTGAAATGCTGCTCCAGGCTTTTATCACGGTATCGTGCTCTCAACAGCGTCCTCAAAAACACTCTGCACAGATTTTACTGAAGATCACACCCTTCAAGGTAGCTTTTGAAATGTGTTTGTATATAACCTACTTTACAATTAGGTTTATTAAATCTTACCTTTCCTTTTGCTATTATGAAGAAGGTATTTCCCTCTTCTCCTTCCCGAATAACATAATCTCCCTTGTTATAGTACTCCTGTTGGGTAGGGAAGGGAGAGACAATATTCTCTGATAAGCTGTTAGCCTTTTTGAAAGTTCTGATTACTATGCAGAGTTCTTAATACCTGTGGATCTTCCATTAATGTTTAACTTCCTATCTCCTTCATACATCACATCCCATAATATGCAACCACTCCATTACAGAAAAAGAGGGGCCAATCTTAATGCAGCAGCACATTACTTGTTTAAAAAACCCACAACACTTGCATCCTCCTTATGAAGCAAGGGAAAACAAAGGAAAAAAAATATCAAAAACTCTTAAAAGAGTTCTAAATCAAAAACCCATTTCCAAAAGTAATTTCAGGCTTGACATCTCAGTGGGAATGCCTAAATTATCTGTTGCAAGCTACCAAGGCACCAATTTTTCTGTGTCTGCTAAGGAACTCTCACCGCCATTACCATTCATTACGATTCAGGTAATGAGTTACCTGATTGTTTAACTTTCAACCAAGCATTTTTTCTGTGTTAACTTCCAGCTTTGTGATCTGAGTGTTTCCTACAAGTTCTCCCTTGCCAGGAATCCCCCCCAAAAAAGAAAAAAAAAGTCACAGCTTAGGATACTGCTATGCTAAGGCCATTTGCCATTTCACATAATCAACGCCGTAATCTCCTCATCCCCTTGTGCTATGGCTGTGCATCACTCTATCTGCCTCCTCCAACTTTGTGCTTAATCTTAATAAAGGCTAGAGTATAGATCCTCTTATCTACTTGCTTGACTACTTTGATGCCAAAACCATAACATTTAGTGACATAATATTAAGTTATTAATTGCTGCCAACCTGGAATTCCACTCTGATCACTACAAGCCCACTCTCATATTACAGAAAGCTTGGTTGGTTTTTATTTTTAATGATTTATTCTTCTTTGTTATTTTGAAAGCTTACTGAATATTATTTAGAAGAACTGAACAGTATCTTACCACCTCCAGGCAGTCGATGATCTTGGTTAATTTATCTTCAGGTAAGTTTTTCAGCAGGGACACACTTCCAGAAAGCAGAAACGCAGAACAAAAAAACCCCAAACCCAAAGTTGTCGTTAACACTTTTTTCATGATCTCTTCTCATCTATACAATTTGTACAATCACATTTTATTGCTAGTTAAACTGGTGGCGAACACAATATACAACTAAATCTTAATTCAGAAGGTTCAAGCATTCTCATCTCGTTTTTTAGACAAACAAAACTCGCACAGCTTACAACTTAGCAATGTGGCAAACACTGGTCAGTTCGTAAATCAACTTTGTATTTCAGTAGGGGAAAAGACTCTAATGGGCATAGGGACTGATTTCAAAATTCAATTATACAAAACCCAGTAATTGTAAACCAAGTCATTATCGTAATCCAAGGATATATTTTTAAATGCACTGCAGAGACTGCAAAATCAGACAAAGGTAAAAACTTCAGTACTCCTCGGACAACTTTTAAAAGAGAATCCGATTACAGTGATGACTTAGTGAACTTGCTGGCAAGAATGAAAAAACCTTCCACTCTGATCACTTAGACTTGCAAAAGTCAGGAAATTATAGAACTTTCTAGCTACTCAGGCTCAGAAAAGAAATATGTATAGAAATCAAAGATAGAGATGGATGTAAAAATACACAAGACATTCTATGCATGGGTAGGCTTTACATCTTGATTTGAAGGTGTAACAGAATGGTCATTCTTTGTTAAAAAAAAACAAAATATGAAATCAGCTAATTATGGTTTGGAACCTCTAATTTCACCATCTTCCTAAGGAGAAGCATGTTACAATGCTCAGTGTTCCCTGCAGGAGAGAGAATTGTTCTACTCTGCAAATTTCCTGGTAATTTATATGGGGATTAGTTAATAAGCTGAGAGACATGCAGATCTCCTATTCAAGTCTCCAAGGGACAAGGAATATTCCTTAATCTACTCCAACACCAAATTAACTACTAGTTGGAGGATTTACTTAACTCTATTCATTATATTGTTTTAACTTCTAAATAGGTAGCCTTTTTATAGATTTATTCTATTACTTAAAAGCATTCAAGCACCTCTTGAAGTTTCCTAATATAATGTAGGAGAAAAACAATTAAAATGGGAAAAACTCTCTTATGAATCTTAAAAAAAAAAAAAAAAAAGAAAAAAAGAGGTAAATAGTCAGGCTTTTGAGGCTGTATTTGCATGAAGGGCATCTTTTTCTCTCTGTTTACAAGCTAGGCACAATATTGTTGTGCACCTTAGTAAGTAGCCCAAATAGAAACTCATCATATTTACCTTCTAAGGAAGTTTCTGTATTGCTCTTGTCTTGTTTGTGCTGTCACTCTCATGATATTTTGAAACACTTCTCTGTCCAATGCCCATGTTTTAACATTAGTGATTGCTTTGAGAAAACAAAAAACCAAGAATAAAATCAACAATGTTTCCAAATTATTTGATGGATGATATTACAGTTTGAGGTCATGGTACAAGACAGATGAGCTCTTTCAAAAGGCCAAAGGCCAAATTTTAAAATATTCAGCATCTATTGCAATCGGACTTTTAAAAGAATTCAACTCCCACTCAAACAATGGTCACTAAAGTAAGGCATAGACTTCCAAATGGTTTCTCCATGGAGCACTTTCCACGCAACTCCACAGGCTGAGTAACCTTGAAAATCTAGCCATTTACTACGAGCACAAACAGGACTGAACACTTGTGAAGATCTACTCTTATCACAGACAGTCATTGCACTCAAAGGCTGCTTTGAAAGAAACAGAAACTTGGTTGAAGTTTTCCAAAACCTATGATGTTGAATACTGTGGCTTGGATTCATCTCTAATTCAGATCACATGCAAATAAATGTTTGTGAGTTATCCAATAAGATAGAAATAACAGATGTCAAGAAATACATTTAATTTCATTTAATCCTCACAGAGTTTTCCTCCAATGTATCCGTCTTATAAGGAAATAAAGGATAATTGAAACATTAATGATTATCTTTCAAAATATAATCAAAATATTAATACAGTAAGCATGCACAAGATTCAGCATCAAAGATGCAAACTACTAAGCAGCCTCTGTGTGCAACCACTGACACAATAGAACACATTGCATCTTTTATTTTTTTTAAGCAAAAGAAGGCGATTCTGTTTAATTTAATCTCTTCTTTTTAAGGATGTAACACCATATTCAGCAATTTTCCTTCTGTCATAAGAAAGAACAAAACTGTTTTCTCTGGGATAAAGGAAAGCTCCAGAAAAATGTAGAGCAATTTACTTCCTCAATTTATCATAAACATAAAATCAATTTAACAAGAAATAAAAATACCAGTTTTAAAATGATGCACAGTCATTGGTTGTTGTACACATGATATAACCATATACTCTGCCATTTATCAAAATATCTCAGAAGATATTTTTGGATGCTGGATGGGAGAACAAAGGTATTGCTTTGGTTTTGTTTTTGTCCTAAATGACATCTTTCAGTTTACTTTTCATGAGGAAAATATGGCAAGAGTCCAGGCTATCGCAAACTGTATTTCCTGTCTCTTGCACCTTAGCTAAATAAAGCAGCTATGCGGCTAGAAAAAAGCCTGAGGTCTCAAAGGTGAACTTAAAAAAAAAAGAAATTCAGAAACACAGGAGTAAATCTCACTGCCAATTTCAAATACAGCTACTGTGTGTGAAGATGCTGCTGAGTAGCAGCAGCCATTGAAAAGCTATTTGGATAAAGTCCTTTACTTGTCACTTCTCAAAGACTGCAGGAAAAGGGTGTCAGTAGATCCAGCATCAAGAAAGGGTTTCCACCTGTGTGTTTACTATCCATGCTCAGTTATGGCATTGTACTGCTCTTCCTCCACAAGAAACACGGGAAAGCTATTGGGGAGGGGTAGGTTTCTGCAGTGATTTCAAGTATTCAAATACCCTTTCTTGTCCATAATTGGACAATTCTTGTCCTACCTCAAAACCAATTAATGTTAACAAAGGTCTAAAGCAGCTTGACATCTTATTATGCAGAAACACTACTTTATAATGCTAATACTGTACAGCAGGCAAAAAAGAAAAGCAGGGAATGTATTCAAGTAGAACCGCATGCTAGTAGAGAAAAGTAATCACATTACTGATGCTGCTCTGTTTATCAGGCAGCAACAAAAACAGATTACATGTAATAACTTCCATCTGCACAGCCAGCAATGATTAAGTGCCTAAACCGGGTGCAGGAAGAAAGACCAAAAGCTTTTAAAGCAAACAACTTATTGTTTTATTCCATTTGCCCCTTATTAAGTCAAGACGAACTCGTCATACTTATTGGTGGTTCAAAGTCCCTGCAGATTTAGACAAGAACGGAAATTAGTCTTCAAACAGAAGTAATACTTATGGAATGGTGGAGAGTGGAAATATGATGAACTTAATCATATTTGGTCATTTACTTGTTTGTCACAGAAAAATTACGGCAGGTTAGAAAAGGAATCAAGGGTTATTTAATGGATGAATACTCAGGAAGAGGGATATTGGTATCAGAGCAACACCTAACAACTCCATCCTGGTCAGTCTGCAAACACGAAATGCAAAAAGCATTTGCCTCAGAGAAGCAGCACATCCCATCTGGAAGTTCCATCTCTCCCACCACCACATTTGAGGTCAAAATCAAATCTCCCAAATGCCAGTTGCAAATGGATCTAGGCAAGACTCAGTAACATAATGAAAACACAGAACTAAAAGAAGTACAAAAGGAACTAATTCCTACGTATTATATTTCCTTCCACTTAAATTAGACTTTATCTGCTCTACTAAAAACACCATGGTTCTAATACCTTTTCAAATTCACTGTCATTTAGCCTCAGGTTTGCATTTGACACAAGCACATAAGAGCCAAAGACCATCACCACTACTAAAGCATCCAAAATTAAAACGCAATCCTTCCTTAGTAGTTAGTATGGTACAGGTCAGGCTAACCAGCACACTTTGGAGATGCCTAATTGTTTATCAAGTGTCATGCTAGACACGGAATCATATTTATGGCATAGTGTTATTAGAGTTCCCAAGTAGAAAGAACTCAAGGAAGGAAACGTGATCTTACCGCAGACAATCAAGACATGCAAACATTTATGAAATGAAAACTTCGAAAAGAATCTGGATATAACAGGGACCTCACAAAAATACATAGTTTTCACTTTGAGCAACGTTGTTATAATTAACCACAGGTACCTTTCACAGAAGCTGTCCGTGTGCAGTTGTATAAAATGGCTAGTTCACCAAATGCTGTCCACACAGGTATTGAGGATAGTAGCTTATTCTGCTGAAAGACTTCCAGACTGCCCTCTGTCAAAAATCATCAGGATAACAGGTGTTAAAAACTGTGCTCAACTGCACAGAGTGAATGGAAAACAAATCAATATATTTCCGACTTTGCCGCTCCCTGGAACACAGGAACGGGAGCAACGATGCAAACAGTGCTTTGAAACACACATACAAACCAGGAGAGATTTATTTTTTTTAAATGTACTGCTAATCTACAAATCTGCTCTCGAAGGGAGGGCCATTGTAAATTCTAATGGGATAAATCTTGGCTACAACAAACCAGTCAATAGTGGTTCAGATAGTCTAGTGTGGTGTAGACAAACTTAAAGTCTTAAAATGGAGTTCACTGGAGAAATTACTCATGAGATTTGTGTGTGTATATATGTGCAGAATGCAAAGGAGAAGGCAGAAAAATTAAAAGCTCGATAAATTTTCCTTCAAGAAATTGTTCTTAAGCTTTACTACAAATCCAGTAAAAGCCAAAAACAGTCTGAATTTTGTGTTATCCTAACACAGTTACCATCATTTTTTTCAAACTGATCCATCTATATGAAACCAGAAGACAGAAAATATTTTTCCAACATATACCAAGATGCTTCTAGCTTAAATATTCCTACCTCAACAGAACATACTCCTTACAGCATGAACTCCAACTCATATGAGTCTCTGGGCCTTTTAGTAGTCCAAAATTGATGAAATATGCAAATTAATTTTTAATGGTGAGATGATGAAAGAGACAATACCTCTTAGGAGCAACTTCCATGTGTTAAACTTGGGGTCCACTAAGACTGATCTGCAATTTGAGATTTGTGTGTAAGCACAGTAGCAGTCAGCACAGATGACTGCAGAGAGATTATTTCAGACCAGTTGGCATTATTTTAGGAAAGCTTTTTTACCCTAAAGCTTTTTGTTTGCATTGTTGTTTGTTTGGCTTTTTCTTTTTTTTTTTTCCAAAAAAAAAATCCAAACAGGTCTTTAAAAAAACCTCAAAAAAATTTCAGCTTTAAGAACAGTAAATGCAGACCTCACCTCTCAATTTCCCATACGCAGAAAACTAGTATAATGTCTCAAGAATGTTGAAAGCAAGTTTATTTTAGAAGTGGGTTCACCACTGAGAAGTCTTCAATATTTTAAATAATCCCTGTTCTTCCTTTTGAGAAAAAGGGCTTGGCTGCACGAACAAAAAGAATTTCCTTGCCTCTAGGCTTTTGTAAGTGAAAGAGGTAATGAATTAGCATTAAATCGAGATTCAAGTTTCCAAGGTGCTTTTTGTTTTTCTCACTCTGTTTCATGGAAGTCACAGGTAAAACTTGCATCGCCCTCATCAGGGCCAGAATAAATTATTTAGGAGCACAAACACCATCACTGTGGCTTTCTGCCAAAACTTCTGAACTACTTTCCTGCTTCTTGCACTCGTGTGTTGTACAAGCAAGCAATAATCACCTTTGAGCACAAAAATGTGATTGCCCGGTTCTCCCTGTCTGATGATGTAGCTGCCTTGCTGAAAAGTCCTTTCATACATACATTCCACCATATCTCGTGTCTGGTGAGGCTCCAGTCTCTTCAAGAACTGATTTCTATTCAGGGCGTCCGTGATAAGCTTCTTCTCACTGGTTGCAAACAAAACAGCAAAGTTTAAAATACCCAGCATGGTTGTGGTGTATTATTCACCAAGCATTCATTCCCCTCAAGATGCTCCCCCTTATTTCTCATAGTTGCATGACCAGTACCACTGACAAATATTTCAATCCTTGCAGGATTTTACAATCCTTGCAGGAAGACATGCTCCCCAGAAAATTTTGCACCGTTTCTCACGATATTCTTTCCCCACTGCACAGCTCAGGTATGTAGCCTTGCTTATCTGAAGGAAAGAAATGTGAAATATATGTCTTCACACAGCACTGCCTGCACAGGATTGCCAGCTTGTTATAAGATCAGGCCAACTTTTCTAAGATTCTAAACCATTTTTTTTTTTTAATATCGAGCAAAAACATAGCACCGATGATATGAAAGTCAACACTGATTGTACTAAAACCTCATCAAGAGTTTCTCTTTTGAGTTGTGAAAAGATGCATGAAGTAAAAGTATGCAAAAACGTGATTAATAGGTGGTGTTTTTTCTTAGGAGAATGTTAGAAGACACTGGTGGTGAGTAAAACAAAGAAAATTGTTGATGAGTGTGGCTGAAAAATGACTACAGAGTACTTCCCTTGCACTGGTAAAATAACACTGATCCTGTGGCATTCCCTGTTTATAGCTACGAAGCAAATTTATTTGAACGTTGTCCCAAAATTCACAAAGTAAGCCCAGGATGCAGGAGAGGTGTGTGTGGAGGTGGAGGGTTAGTGCTGATTTCTTCTTGCACTGCTCTTTGCCTTCCATCCACAACCCTGAAAAACTCTTCCTACCCCTACTGTGTCCACTTCCTTTGCACAGATGACAACAAACAGCATAAATGCTGCTATCTGAGCGAAAATCCTGTATAGTTTGTTCATGTGGGATGTCAAAAATGTTCAGTCTCCTTAAGAATGACCAAACATGGGAGAATCTTCCCAAAGCAGGCCCTTTACTGCTTCTAAGAATTTTTAGACTATAATTGGAAGTTGCCAAGCCACTCTCCATGATATTTGAAAAGTCATGGCAGTCAGGTGAAGTTCCAGGTGACTGGAAAAAGGGAAACACTGTACCCATCTGACTTAGGTCAGATCTGTCAGAGCCCTGAGGGCAGTAATAGGCCTTACCTACACTGCACAGCCTCCCTTGGGACCACCACACATCCTCTGCCCATTGGAATGCATATTCTCTTTAAGCCCAGGTATGGGCATTCAGTTCTTGTCTGGGCTATGTTATAGAAATAATTGATTTTGGTTTTGTCTTCTGGATGGGTATTGGCCCGATATTGTAAGTACTTCGTTTCTCTCTCTTGGCTAGAGTTTGCATCTCATTGATTGCTTCTTCTGTGGGACTGCTGATGGACCCTGTTATAACCACCCTGCTGAGCCTACCCTGCCCAGACCTCGGGGATGGCATCCCGGTTACTGTGCTGCAGTAACCTGGTTCACTTATTCCTGCAGAGCAATCTTGTTCTGGCTGCTCCCTGAGACAGTCTCTGTATAATTTCCTGTTGTAGTAAATGCACAGGTGTTGCAAATGAGTGAATTGTAAAGACAAGAACAGTCTATATTTGAGCTGCTGGTGGAAGAGTCCAGTGGTTGGATTTTAAGAAGAAGAAAACATGGGAAAATAAACAGTGGGTGAATCCACTAATAATGACTAACCAACTGAGTCAAAGCAGGCTATACATACCTACTGGGCAATCTATGAGCTCTCATTGAACTTGTGTATGTCCTGGGTCAAGGGCTTCCTATAAAGCAGTGCTTTGAATCCATGTCAGAAATGAATGCAACTAAACAACTGCTGCACTGATGAAGCTTTTATGGTTAGGTTTGCTTTACTGCTGAAGTGAAAGATAAATTCTGCCTTTAAGGCCCCATGTTCCTAACATGCATGTAAGGACGTGTAATGAAGTCAACACTCTGACAGCTTTCTGGAGGCATTTAAGGTCTATTCTTGCTTGTATTCATAAAACTAGGTTATGTGGGAAAATCTCCTGAGGACAATCCAGGAATGAACAACCACAGGGCAAGTAAATACACTTACAATGTTAGTAGCCATATAATGACTGAAAATAAGTAAAGGCGATGAGATGAGGCAAGAAAACAAAATCAAGTAGCTATGGTAAGGACTGTGTTTAGAAATGGAGATCATAACTTAGCTTCTGCTGAAAGCAAGAGGGTTATTGGAACATAAGCTCTAACTTAGTTTTCTGCTAAAACCAAACTTCTAATTTAATTCACCCTGGCCTGCATGGTGCATACAAAACTGAAACAAAATACAGTAATTCCATATAACCAAATACTTAAAATGAGGACAAAAGCTTCCAGAACTACATAGGAGGCTATGCTGTTTCCAGGAAGTGCAGTTGGCCACAGAGTGAAGGACTGAGGAGTATGGTAACTGCAGCTCAGGCTCTTGAATCAGTTGCTTGCTCATTTCTGGGTATCCAGCACACTAACAGTTGTCTCTCCATTTCTCCTGTACCTGCTCCACTTTTGAGAATGGCTGCTGGAAATAACTAGACGTCCTGAGAGGACAGAAGACATTTAGTCCAGTACTTGCACTGGTTGCTGTCCTTATGAGTACTACTAAAAAGGTAAAAAGGGGGTGCACAGAACTGTTCTGGTGTTGAGGTATCTCTTGGTCTCACCTCTAGTAGGACTTTTCTTCACTGCCCAGAGCCAGCTTTGCCATAGCATCCTTCTCCAGGTTTTGTTCCCCTACCTGCTGTTAGCTTTCATGGAAATGTTCCCCCTGCCTCTTTCAACACATTCCCAGTCAAATTCTAGAAATAGCACCTGACAGTCTAAGAATAGCTTTTTGTGAACAGGATTGGGAATTTATTTCTATCATAAGACAGATGTCACGTCACAGGTGCAGGGGTACAACATATGTTTTGCCATATGCTTTCTCTTAATGTACCTTTCTGCTACTAATAAGAGATTTTTGGCTATCTGCTGGCATTGGCTGGTAAAAGACATCAATGTCAAGGGTCAAGATAGTTCTTCCCCAGCCCATAATGGCTGATAACAGAACTGGGTCACGGTCCTGAGCCCCTATAGGAAGGGTCTTGATAAAGGCAGTTTAAATGCTGCTGATGGTAATAGTATGCTCTGTAAGAACACAGAAAAATGGAGAACTATCCTATAGAAAATGAGACACCTAGATTGTTAACACTGCAAAGGTTAAGTGATTAAAAATATTTTCCATTTGAAGGACTTCTGAGAGATCTGCTCTCATATACCATGTTCAAACTCTGAAATCTTGAGTCTTTAGTTAAATTTTCAATGCTTAAACTGCCATTAAGGAAAAAAACCTAATTTTTTGAAATGATATGGATTTACCCAACTAGCTCAAGAGAAGAAAAAACATGGAAAAAACATCCACTCATATAGGATAGATAAGAACCATTGAAAGCTTCTAAAATTTTCATTAAAATCAGTCATGCTGAGATACTCCAAACAAAAGCATGGCACTCAAAACCCTGCTAAATGAATAGCATAACATTATGCCATTTTGTTTTATAAATATTTTTAAAAGGGGCGAGTGACACTCCGGACTCAATGCAAATTCAAGAACATAGCATGGAGCTTCCCCTCCTTCTGAAATAACTGCATTCACAATAGTGCAACAACTGTGCAATTATCTTATGCAGAAGTGGGGCTGCATTAAGTCCTTTCTCTATAAAGGAGAGGCAGCCACTGATATCAGCAACTCTGAACGCTTCTATAGACACTGTTAGGCTAAAGGATCAGTATTTGCTAGTTACAGTGGACAGAATTCTGTAGAGAGTAAAGGTCAGACTTTGTTCTTACATGTATGCCAACTGTCTGAACTTAACCTACTACAGTATTTGCTGCCCAGGTAAGGAAACCAAATGTTTGTACCTTTCAGCATTTGATTGTCTCAGTAGGAAGTTGATAGTGTCAAACAAGTGTGTATCACAAGCTTATCTAACTGAGAAGCAGAGTAATGCATAGTAGTTTTGTGATGGGGTTTTTTGGCTATGTTTGCTTCCACAGTATTTGGAAGATCAAATGATACTGTGGCCACTATCACATCAAAAGATGATGTGCATTACATTTAGATTGCTTAAACTGCAATACTTGGTTTTGTTCTGACTGCTGCACTTAGCTAATCAAGCAGCTCTTTTCTTGCCTTTACTCCTCACTGCTGTTACAATTCTGTCTCTGAAAGCACCCTAGAAAACCATCTGGTTGGCAACAGTACAAGGATCGTGCCAAGGAGAAGTCAGGTAGGTGATTACAAGTAGAACACTCCTAAAACAAACAGTGATTTAAACTGCCCAGGTACTTGTGATAAAATATTAATGCAGTCCTCTTACTTTGTGGAAAAACACTGCTAGCTGAAGTTCTCAGTGCTTTATGGTGACTCAGGCAGCCTTTCTGATTCACAAGACACCCTCTAATGTGTAATGCTGGACATGATGGATGAGAAATCAAGTCTTATAACTCTCAGGTCTACTAAGGTACACTTATGTATGTCATGATTTTTTTAACAGAATAATAAAGCTCCCCGCAAATCTGAGGCACTTAAGCCACTAGCTGAAGTCCTGATAGATTCTGGCTACCACCATTTTAAAACAGATACTCAGGTTTTGTCTACACTGCAAGGTCCCTATGTTTAAGGATACCAGTCCAACACATCTGTCCACAAGGTCAGCTGGGACCACAGATATTTCTGGGTCTTTCAGAGTCTAGAAAGCATAACTAGATTCAAAGAGGAACAAGTAAAATTCAGTTCCTACACCATGACTACCAGAAGCTGGAGGGCAGGAGGAAGCTAAGAGGACAATCACACCATACAAAATATTTCATTGCATTCTGCACCAGACTGAGTTGAAACTGGGCTGACAAACTCTGTGCACAGCTCAGGAACAGTGTCCATATTGCATTTGGGAGAGCTGAGCTGGAGTCACCTGCTCCTTCCCAAGCCATCTATGCTGTAGAGATAAGAATGAAACCAGGTGAAAGCATCCAGGCACCTCCTCATCAGTGTTCTAGAGGATAGCTTAAGCTGTGAGCACTAGGCAAACCCAGAGCTAAGAGGCTTAGGTCTAGCCTAGAAGATGCTTAGGTTCTGCTTAGCTGGCTGTAAAGATAAATCTCAAAGAGACTATAAGAGTCTCATCTAAAACACAGAGCCTACCCACACCACTCTTCATCTGAAGTCTGTGGGACACAGATGATTCTTGGTTAAAGAATCACACAAACTCAACCTGAATTTCACTACCACAGCGACAAAGCCTATATGAAAAAGATGGTTATTTTAATCTTGATTTATCATGAGAACAATATATCAGTGTGACAAAAGTATTATCCTTGTAACACAATCATATAAGCCCTCTGAAATGAGCTCACCTGGAATCCTTTCGGACCGTTGCTTTTTCAAGGGAAAACATGGCTTTCCTGCTCAAATCATACAGCCGCGTTGTCGGCTCTGCAGACACACCTTCCTTGGCTCCTCTCCTCCTACTGGCAGAAACTTTCAATGGAGAAGGCTGAAGAGAGTGCTCTCCTTGAGTGCTAACAACATCCTGGAGCTTGTTCAGCTGTGTACACTTGCTCTGAAGTTCCTTGGTGAGTTCTGCTATGACCTTAGTCTGCATAGCCAACTGTTCCTGAAGCTCAGCAACATGACTTTGACTGTCTTGCAACTCTTGGTCTTTTCTCTTCAGCTCCTTTTCCAGTTCAAGTATCTTGCTGCAAAGAACATCAGCTTGCCCATTGATCACACTGATGCCTAGGCATGGGTCCATCAAAAACTTATGGTTGGCAGCACAGCCAATAGCAAGGTTTGCTACGTGTCTGTCTGTCTGCCTCAGATGCTTGGGTTTCACTAATCTATTCCCCATTTTGTCCAGAGACCTAGGCAAGAAAATAAATTTGCAGTTTTATTTTGTTCTCCAAGAAAAATAAAAAATAAAATAAAAACCATGGAATGGCAAACAATGACTTTAGTATTTAACTGGCAGCTGAATTTGCCATATACAACTATAGTAAACACAGTTGATTGCTTTCATCTTTTCCAGTCCTGCAAGTCAGTGTAGTAAAGGGCAAAGAAAAGAGGTAGGTAGGGTACTAAAGACAAAGCAGAAGATCTGATGGCTATCACTTCATTTTTGTGAGTCAAAGGGATGTGTAAGCTCCTATCAGCCTAAGACGAGACAAACAGCGGGAAGCAGAAAACCTCGCACTCGATTGCTGAAGCAAGAAAATTGTTGGAGGCAAAAAATAAAAGTTGGGTCACTTCTCCATTGAGGAATAATTATTGAGTACACAGACTAATTTAACCAGTGGCTGCATATCAGCCTGACATAAAGGATATGTGGTTACTAAGAATAAGTGTTAAGAATAATTTTGGGGAAAAAAATTAAGGATTATGACCATACTGATCAGAAGAGGAGTCTGGCTAGCTTGTAACTCTCTCCAAACACGACTGTAGGGAGACGCCCAGGAATGGGTATCAACAGGAATGAGCATATAGACAGCTTGACTGAAATATTCTCTGAAATTTCAGACTTTCTGGGCCTGATATGTATTATCTAATTCTCAATGGGCCTCTAATCCTAGTACTTGTCTCAGTTCCCTTCCAACTCTTGTAAACTTCTTATCTGCAGACCATGGCAGGACCTCAGCAAGGAGTTGGACAGGTCTGCTTCTTGCATGAAGAACTACCACCTCCTTTTATTTATTTCTTCCAGCAGAAAACCAAGGATGCCAAAATCAGGAAAAGCCAGCTTCAGAAAGACTTCTCTCTATTAATCTCTTCTATATGATTCTGTAAATTTCTAGGCTAGTTCTCTGCCTGAGCATATGCCTGAATTCTTTCCCAGAATGACAAGCCCTTCCTCATACAGACATCACTCCAAAAGTTTGACAAACCCAGCTGTCTTTTGCTGATTACAAATTCAGGACAGCATAGAGTTAGACCCAATGTACCCCTATCAAAGGCAGGCAGGTGGCACAATTTCTGCAGCTCACTTAATAATTTAAAACCGGCTCATATATATTAGTGTAATAGCTGCTATTGCTGTCAAGGAACAATTATCTTTTTATGGGGAATTACCCCCTTCCATTGGCTACTCATGAAGAGTGACCGGGCAAAAAAAAAAAAAAGGTCCTGGACTCCTGAGAACAGCTATGCTCCAAGCACTCACTAAAGAGCAGCCTTCAGTAGATTTGCAGAAACCCATCTTCTTCCTTGGACACCATCTTTGGCATATTTTACTGTATCATTTTAAGAGGATCAAGGAAGAAGTGCCTGCTGCTTTGGTCAGACTGTATTAAATGCACAAGCTGATGGGGCAAAAAACCTGTTACTTTTGAGACTCTAGTGTTCAACAATCACCAGCCCACTGTACACCAGAACCAGTCTTGGGGAGCAAAGCCTGCCTATAAATCCCATCTGTGCACCACAACAGTGGCAGGTTACAGTTTGGTTCAGCTCAGGTCTAAGAAGAATTCCACCAGGAGAGAAGGAATGAGCTTAGGGCCATATTGTTCAGGCCTTAGCTGCACATAGAGCTTTTCCCAAAACCCCTGACCAGGTTCCTGTCCAATTGTATTCTTCTTGCAGAAGACCACAGCACAGAAAATATCTGCTTTCTTAGATGAAGCACAAATTGTTTACTTGTACTCTGATTTTTGCCCTATCAATAAGCTATTTTATGAAATTACTGGTGCACTAACCATGCTGCTATTGTGATCAGGCATTAGTAGGCCCAAAGTAGCTGTTTTTCTGCCTCATGAATGCACTACAACTTTTTCAGGATGAACCCCAAGTCATACGGTTTAAGCTAACCTCTTTTACCATTCCATTGGAACTGGATAAAAACAGGTCCCTGACAAGGTACGTTGATCAGACAACAAGAAATACATTTGAAAGCTTCAGTAAAATTCCTTTACTGGTTAGCATAGCCATACTTCTGACAGATGCACAATTATGTTCTGGTTTACAGCCTTCAAAGAGTTAGAATTGAAATAGCTGACAAGGTAACTTACATTGCAAATCTAGTTTTCCTTAAAACAGTCTTTCTTCTCAACTCTGTCTTGCTTATTGTGACTTTGCATAATACTTTTCTCTTGTCCCAACTTCCCAGATGCATTTCCCTGGTGCCTTAGCTTTTTAACAGGGTAGTATGTCAGAAATAAAGGCAAATCTGTACCGCACAGGAGAATTTAAACAAATTGCACATCAAGGTACCAAACCAAATAACTCTGAAGAGGGACCTAGGCATCACTAAACATGGCTTAACCAAAGATCTTAGCTCAGCATGCAACCATATTAAAAAAAAAAAAAACAAAACCAACTTAAACTAAATGTTACAATTCAGAAAGTAGAAATGAAGATTATGGGAAACACACCATCACACACAACATGGTAGCATTCTCTGTTACTGCTGTCACTGCAGTGACAGTTGCTGCATTTCAGATAAAGGATATCACATGCACTTTAAAATTATATAGGGCAAGGTGACTGACCCAGGGCACAGAAAAACCTGCTAACTATATTGTATCCAGAAACAACAGGTTTACTGCGTGATGGTTAAAGTCCCTAAGATATCAACCCCACTAGAGAGAAAATGTTAGGAACTTCTGTCTGCCCATTGCATATGCACAATTAATTGTCAGCGTAGAATGGAACGAGCCATCGGATTGGCCACTTGTGCAGGAAAGTCACGACCAAGTACTTGGCAGGATTGAAGAAAAGACTGACAGGTGATTTTGTTAATTCAACATTACAGTAGTCAGTTCTAACAGACAACTTAAAACCTTATGCCTCAGAGGTCTGACCAACCTCTACCCACAGTTAATGAGGCAAAAAGCAAAGCCAGAGCATTGCACTGTGTTTTACTACAGTAAAACGCTCTTTCGAGGTCACACGCTCTTTCGAGGTCACTGGACAGACGCGGCCAGGGACCGGGCAGAGTCAAAACCCACGCAGGGGAGCCGAGAGTGCCCGCCGCGGGATGCTAACGGGATGCTCAATGGGTGCCTAAGGGATGCTTAAGGGATGCTCACGGGATCCAGCGCCAGCCGAAACCAGGTCCGCCCCAGGCCCGCGGGGGGCGGGCGCTACCGGGCCAGGACCCCCGCCTGGCCCCCGCCCCACCGGAGCCCGGCGTCGCCCCGGGGAGGCCGCAGCTCCTCCGGCCTCCCCCGCTCCCCGCACGCACCCGCCGGCGCCTCTCGGTGCCTGCTACCCGGTCCCTCACCTGCGTGCTCAGCTGGCCCCGGGCCCCGATCCAGGACGGTGCTGGGCGGCGGCAGGGACGGAGCGATGCTCCCTTGGAGCCGGGCTGGGCGGTAACGCCGCTCCCGCCTGCTCGCAGCCCGTCACGGGCGCGGGGGGAGAAGGGCGGAGACGGCGGTGCCCGCCCGTCTCTCCCCCTCTCCTTCCCTCTGTCTCTCCTTCCCTCCCCTCTTTCCTTCTCTCCTTCCCTCCCTCCTCCGGCGGTGCGGGGGCTGTGGGGGCGCTGCGCTGTCCCCCGCCCAGGGAGGGGCAGGGGCTTCCAGGGCGTGGGGAGCCACCGGTGCGGTGCCCGGGCTCGGCAGGGAGGCGGACACCCCGTCCCAGGCGGGCAGGGACAGACAAGCTGGGCTCCTCAATGCATCCCGCTTGGCACAGAGATAAATGCAGGGCCCAGCTCGGGCCGTGCTGACAAGTGTTTGCCCTGTTTGCTTTCCGCTGCCGCATGGGTAGGTCTTGGCGTGACTGTCGGGCACACAGCTGTAGAGATCCTGCAGCCTTTGTAATCTGCAGCTGACCCTTAGGCACCAGTACGCAGCCCTCCTGCAAGGAACCTGCTCGTGTCCGGGGGTGTGTCCTCACTCACGCTGGAGCACCACGGCTGGCCCCAGAGTAGAGGATTGCCTCTGTGCTCAACACTGACTCTTGGCAGAGTACAGGTTTCACAAGGGCTGTTCTCCGCTGCGCATATCTTTGTGTTGATTCAAAACATCTGCCTTCAAATCAAGGCTTGCTAGGCACAAACAGCCTGACAAAACAACGGTGAAAGGATTTTATAACAGGCTGCATGCACATCCCTCCTACTGATGCTGTCAAGCAAACTTAGTCTAACCCCAACCTGTAGCCTCTAGGACACTGACTCTCCAATTTTCTCCTCTGCACTTACCATCTCCATTTGAGGCTCTCTTTCTTTACATTGACCCCAAATTCTTTCCTGACCCACAGTTAAAAAAACTTTCCTGTCTGACCATCCGGGAGCCACTCTGGCGGTCACACTCACACCACCCCAGGCTGTCACTGCTGGGACTGAGGCCCCTTCACAGCAGGTGGCTCCAGTGACCCAATGGGTGCCCTGCTTGACTCCCTGCACACCCCACACTCGTACACTCAGACAGGTTTCCCATAGTAGAGTCCCAAATGTCTTAAATCATTTAATGGTGGTGCAGCAACACCATAACACCTCTAGCTGCTGCCTCTGGGAAGGGACCCTCAACAAAGGAGTCACAGGGCTTTTATACCCTTACAGTCAGTGCAACGATTCCTCACGTGCTCTTCACGCTCCTTGCATGTGCCTTTTGATCTGAGGTCTTGTTGTTTATTTGGTTTCTACGGAGTCTCTGGATGACAGCCAGAGCCCACAGGTCCTCATGCCCTTTGTCAGGCAAAGGGTTGGCTCCGAGTCACGGCCCCTTGCTTGGGGCTCCAGCCATTCCTCCACCCAGGGTACAACCTGCGGCTCCCACTGCAGCTGCACACCAGGCTACTGGCACCAGGTGCATTCCTCAACACCATTCATGAACTTCAAATTGCTTATCAAAATACCAGCCAGTGCCGGTATTGCACTTATGTGCAATTCTGGCAGTCACATTAGCAAAAAATCTCTACAAATATCTATCTATTTAATACTCCGGGCAACTCCATCACATACACCAACGTCAGTTTGCCTACCTCTAAATCTTCCTTTGATTTCAACAGATCTCAGTGTTCATCATGGCTTCCACAATCACTGGCAATATCTGGGAGTAAGCAGCTCACATAAATCTTAACAGGAACAGCCTGAGAAGGGCTCTGTGTTCTTCCACTTACATTGGAGTTCTCAATCAAAAAGAAAAACTTATAAAAAAATGTTGGTCGCATACATTTCCCTGACTACTCAATATCTCAAGACAGAAATGTTATGGTAATCAGAGAAGCATGTAATGAGAAAAGTTGTCCCAGTATCTGCCTACACTCTGGAAATGAGCTGCTCTGGGAAGCAGCAATTGACTTGGATTCCCTGCAGTGTAAGGCAGTTTGACAGCACCCTCTTTTTCTGTTGCGAAGTTCATAAGAAATGCAGTCAGGAACCTGGAGACTGCTCCCTACTTATGGTAAACCAGGGATACATGGAGTCTTGCTCTTTGTTGGTAGAAGTGGAAAAGATAATGGGCACCCCCTGCAGTTCACCTGCCAGGAGACTTCAGAGGTCAGCATCACACACCTGAAGCCAGCCACTGCATGACAGAGATCAGGTGCAGGTCACTGTCTGGAAGGCTTCATGTCTGCTAGGGCAAGTATAGCTGTCACACCTATTCTAAAAATTCCTTTGATATGTTACAGAGCCCCTTTTTCCACCCTCAGAACTTGTTTCAGGGTAGCAATATGTTTGGATTACAGTTAGGGATGCTTTGGTCAATCTAGACTGGAAGTTCATTTGATATGAGTTAGCTTAAAAACTTGGAAAACTGGCAACTTGTTTTGGTCTAATTGTGAAAGAAAAAGCTGTACAGTCACATTACACAAGCCCTATATTCTGTAAGTCTTACTGTCCTGTCTGCAAATTGCAGGGGCAGAAATAAACATACAAAGCACAACAGGAGTGTCCTGTTGTTAATCCTTCCCATTTGCACTGCTGTCTTAGCAAGAAATGGATGAGATATTTATTGCCATGAAGGATTGAGGAGCAGGAGCTTGAAAAAATGGGGATTTAGATTGTATCTTGCTGCTGCTGAGTTCATGCTTTGAAGCAAAATAAAATAGATGGTGTTAAATGTTGCTTTCTTGGTGTTTGGTTTCTTTTGTGCTTGGTTTTTTTTGATTGTTTTGGTTTTGGGGTTTTTTTAGATAGAAATCAAACAGGTAGGGATTACAAAGTAACAATGCTTCTGCTTCTTTCATGCTTTGGGAAATATTTCTATATTCTAAGAATTTTGCTCTACATTTTGTGGCTATCCTGTTGAGTAATCCAGAAGGTGGACTTCAACCTGAAACACAACACAGTCTCACTTGCTACTGAAGTTCCAGAAAAAGAGTTTTGTTTGGGGTTTATCCATTCTTCCCCTCCACCCCATATAAAAGATTTTGTTGTTGTTGTTGTTGTTGTTTTGTTTGTTTGTTTGGTTTGGTTTGTTTTGTGGTTTTTTTTGTGGGGATGGGGGTATTTCTGTGGTTTTGGCTCATCTAGCACCTCTGGACACTAACCATCTTTGGAGCAGTACCATAATTAAAAATCAAACAATCAGAAAAACATTGTTTGAAAGCTAAAGCACATAAATCATCTAAGCTCTTGAAAGCTAAAGCACATAAATCATCTAAGCTCTAATGCCATGAAGGAATAATAAAGGTGTTTTGTTTGTTAAAATGTATAAATAGTGAAAGGTTTTGATAGTGGTCATGCTGGCTTTGTGGATTTGCCAGCCAGCACCCCTTTCTGCACAAAACTGTAGGTAAATCAAATACCTTGACTCTGTGTGTGGATTTTTCTCTTGCACACTGGGTGGGAGAACCTGTTTTGGAACAACATCCTTGGCGAGAGGTGGTGCTGCAGTCCTGGCTTGAGGCTGGGATCATGACAGTGGTTGTTCAGAAGACAGCAGATAACAAGAGATCCTGCTTTTCTTTCTGTCACCAGTTGCCAGAAAAATTCTCCTCCATAGCCTTGTAGGAAAGACAGATTCTCATCCTGCTAAAATGATCACTGGGCAGAGTTCACCACATTTTACTGCTTCTCTTAATCACTGATCAACAGATTGAATGATGCTAGAATGTCTTGAGCAGTCTCTTTAGACAGATATAATAAAGATTATGGCATACAAAAGAGGGACTGTATGAGGGAAATGACATTGTTTCTTAATTCTCAAACAGAAACCAGTCATTTGATTATATGAAATAATGGATATTTATTTGCCATCTGTGCCCCAAATAATAAACAAGCCTTTGAACATTGCCTTAGGCAGTGCCAGTTCACTCACCAGGCTAGCTTCTACTTGGCCATAACTTCCTCCAGCCAAGAATACTCTAACCACTGGAAAGGAAAGCACAGCAAGGGCACATCTTGTGCCAGGTTAATAGGACTTCTGCACAGAAAAATTCTTGCCCCAACCCCTCAGTTCCACCACTCTCACTCACTTAGACAAAAGCAGGATGAATACTGCAAGCAGGAGCAGTGCAAAATCCTAGAAAGAAAAGAACTGCATCAGAACTTCACCTGACACAGATCATTTTACCACCTTTGCTGGCTCTTCTGCTTTTTTTCACTGTATTGAGAGTAAGCTACTTCTTGCCCATCTTCACAAGATGCTGAGCATCAGCCCAAAGTCATCTACTACCCCTCAGGTATGGACTGTGAACGTGAGAAATAAGGGGCACCTAAAGGGCCTGTGCTGGTATGTTAAAGAGCTTCTGGGCCATATAAATCATTCTGGCTGAAAATAGTGCTATTACCTGTCAGAAACAGTCCTGAGCAATTAATTTGGACCATTTCTAGGTATAAATATATAGTATGTGCAGAGTCCTTTATGCTGGCCTTCTACATACTGGGTCTAGGTCAGTTCCCATCTGCTGTCCTCTCCCACCACAGATGAAGAACATCTCAGAAGCAAAAAGGAATACAGGTTGTGTGTACTCATTACAGCAGGAATCACGCAAACTCAAAAGGCTTTAAATGGAAAGAGGTACAGTAGCTATGGGCTGGCCTATGGTGATACTGTCCTGCACTGTTTAGCTCACCAGGCAAGTTTTAGATTCCTGTTATAACACCTATAATCAATGGGAACTCTGAACTACAACTTCTCCTGTGGTGATATGGAGATACGGCGTTTTCTATGTTCTTGATGTTCTTCAAGAGATAAAATTTACTAATTTCTATCCCTGGTCAGCCTTTCAAAATTGAAATTCCAATATTGAAAATATTTTAATATGAGTTTTAAAATACTTCAAAACTACATTTATTTGACACTGGAAGTAAAAACGAATTGGTAATTCAAACAGAAGGTTAATATTGTGGGAGGAATTTTGTCTTGATTTGACCCAACACTTACAGTATAAATCAAAGCTTCCCATGAGGGTTGTATCTTGCTAAT